ACACAGAGCAGGTTGGTTCACTGTACTGCTTCTTCTCTCACTGTTCACTCTGCTGCTGACCGGAGGGCGGCGCTGTTCGCAGCTTTACGGTAACGGGACGTTTGTGTTGTTTACACAAACAGCTGCTGCAGTAAACAACCTCTCACATTGTTTACTGTTACCAACAATCAGTCCAGCTGTTTGTAGTCTGCAGACCCCTTTTTCACAGCGACCATTTTGACCTGGAACAGTCGGGTAAACACAGGTGGATCCAATTAAGGCTCCGTTCCATTTAGTGTAGCAGAGGCTGTACGAACATTAAAACTTCACTCTAATGGAAACCAACAGGAACTTTAATCTATATATGTACAAGTACACAGTTCTCCCCGTACATCAGCACACAGTATTAACCATTAAAATAACTCCGACAGGAATATATAAATATATTATTAGTACAGTTCTACGTTCTCACATACAATAACTTCACATTTTAAAAACTATTTGCAGCTAATTCATAAGAACTGACTGTAATAATAATCTTTATATTTAGTAAAAGTTATAAATCATCAATTTAAAAGAAGAAAAACATTCAGGAAGTAAAAGATACGTCCAAACAAATAAAAGTCTGTTTTAAGACAAACTCGACGCTGTATAGAATCACACCTCCAAAGAAAGGGTGTTTAATAATTTATACAAGGTGAACATTTAACCACTAATACTGAGTACTTAATAATTCCATTACAGTCCTAACAATGACTGAAACATGTTTCAGTAATTTAATAAATGTTGTTGTGAAAGTTGATTAAATAATCTCTGAACTTCTGACAGCTCCACCTCCACCGACCTGCTAAATAACGAGGGGTTGCGTAACATTATGTTTATAATGATGTTATTTACTAGAAAGAGAAGAAACGTATATTTATGGATTTCCAGTGTAACAAACATTAAACGTTGTTTCTTTCATGCCAGGGTGTTTTATTTTGAAAACTGCCGATTCTGTGTCTGACTTCCTGCTGATGCAATCTGCTCTGTGCTGTATGTATAGACTCTACACTGTATTTGTGTAGACAAAAGTTAAAACTCATCTGAGCCAATAAAGTTCAGCCAAGAGGTGACAAATAAAAGCCAGTTGCTCCAATATCACAGGCCCTTTTGTTGTTGCAATCACAACATAGCATCTTGCTGGGGGGAGTGAAAACCAAAGGGCCGAGTACAGGGCCCTGAGGTGCTCCGTATTTAAATTAATATGTATTGTATTGGTCCCTGATTGAGGTGACTGAGTCAGTACCAAATACATGTCATGTGTGCACACATGTAAAGTACAGTCGGGTGATGGAGCCCGTTTCTTTAAAAAACACTGTTCTAGAGATCTTAAGTCATGACATCACTTCCTGTCTAGCCTCTGTAACTCGATACAATCTCTCATTCAGCGTTTCTTTCATCTGTCTGTCAGAAAATATAAATGCTTTCCTGCGATCTAATTTCCATATTCTCAGACTAACCAAAGACAGTTTCGATATTACAGACAGACAAATCTGACAGAAGCTGTGACTCTGAACTTAAGTCGTCTTACAGCTTAAGCTCTGTGTGTGGACGTTGGTGTGCAGACAGACAGTTCTCAGTGTTCCTGTTTTTGTATTTCAGGGTTTCCTGCAGACGTCCAGCAGCTGTCGGTGATTAAAGAAGAGGTTCCCCCTGAGCAGCAGGAGTGGAGACCCAGTCTGGACCAGGAGGACCACAAGGTTCAGACTCAGCACCCACACTTTAAAAAGGAACAGGAGGATGTCTGGACCAGTCAGGAGGGAGAGCGGCGTCAAGGTCTAGAGGAGGCTGACATCATCAAGTTCACATTCACTCCTGTCCCTACAAAAAGTGACAATGAAGATGAAGAGAAACCTCAGTCCTCACAGCTTCATCAAAGACAAACTGAACAGATGGAAACAGAAGCTGATAGAGAGGACTGTGGAGGACCTCAACCAGCTCCACATAGAAATGTACAACCTGGTACTGGTGACAGGACTGAATATTGTCCTGAACCTGAATCTAAAGTCATCACTGACGATAAAACCACCACCAGCGAAGCTCATTTAGGTTTGAACTTTATAAGAGATAAGGGATATAATTCTTGTGAAAAACCATTTTGCTGCTCTGAGTGTGGTAAACAGTTTAGCCATAACTCAAATCTGAAGACACACATGAGAACCCACACAGGGGAGAAACCGTTCAGTTGCTCAGTTTGTGCTAAAAGCTTTGGCCAGAAGGCATCGCTGCAGAAGCATTTCACATGCCATACAGGAGAAAAACCATACAGCTGTCCATTTTGTAATAAATGTTTTGCACGTTCTGAACATTTACAGTCACACACGAGAATGCACACTGGAGAGAAACCGTTCAGCTGCAGCGTGTGTGACAGAAAATTCACTTGGCGTCATCAGGTCAAAACACACAAGTGTGTTGGTGAGTCCTCACAGCTTCATGGACTCTGGACCAGTCAGGAGGGAGAGCAGCTTCAAGGGTTTA